TTTAGGGTTTTGGGGGATTAGGGTTTTAGGGGTTTAGGTTTTTAGGGGTTTAGGGTTTAGGGGTTTAGGGGTTTAGGGGGTTTAGGGTTTAGGGTTTAGGGGTTTGGGGCTCTAGGGGTTTAGGGGTGTTTAGGGGTTTAGGGTTTACGGTTTTGGGGTTTAGGGTTTTAGGGCTTAGGGGTTCAGGGGTTTAGGGTTTTAGGCGTTTAGGGGTTTAGGGGTTCAGGGTGGGGTTATAGGGGTTTAAGGGTTTAGGATTTAGGGCTTTAGGGGTTTAGGGTTTAGGGGTTTAGGGCCAGAGTCTGGCGGGTCCTTTTCAATCTGGGTAGCTCGCTGAACTAGGGCCCCTTCTAAAGGGATCTACAAGGGATTATAAGGGCTTCCAGGAGGGCACTATAAGGCTTCTAGATGCGTAGGTGTTTAGAATGAGGGTCATTCATATTCAGAATCAGGCGTCGGGCATTTTATGCGCGATAGTTCTTGCCGTGAAGGACCGCGACAATCTTACAATAGAGGGGCCTTGCATAACCTGAAAGGGGTACCTCCAAGGGGTACCATAAGTCAATAATGGTTTCTAGACGGGTTTAGCATAATTAGGGGCCTTGCTACCTACAAATCGCGCTTTGGGCGGTATGTCAGGCTATAGCAATATCGAGACTATGATTACCAACTGTTGCACTTACATCCACCGGCTTAGTATAAAGGTTGCGAAACGGGTCGCTACAACGGAGGTTGTGGGGTGTTTGATCTAATAACGGCTACTGCAAGGTCTAGGCTGATGGTATGGGCCTTGCAGCCAGTCAGTCTTCAGCCGAAGCCCAACACCCCTGACCCTAAACCCTGAACCCTGCACCCCAAACCCTAGACCCTCAACCCTAAACCCTATAGGCCCTAAACCCTAAACCCTGCCCTCAACCCTGAACCCTAAACCCTGAGCCCCCTAAATCCTACATCCTGAACCCTCAACCCTAAACCCTAAAGGCCCTATAGCCCTAAACCCTGAGCCCCCTCAGCCCTCAACCCTGAACCCTAAACCCCGAGCCTAGAGTCCCAATGGAACCCTACTGAAACACCCTAAACCCCTAAAACCCATAGGAACCCTATGGAAAACCCTAAACCCTAAAACCCTAAACCCTAAACCGTAAACCCTAAACCCTAAACCCTAAACCCTAAACCCTAAACCCCTAAACCCGAAACCCCTTAGTCATGTACACCCTGAGACTCTCCGCTCCCCCCAAGCCAAAGCACCCGAAACCCCCAAAAGAACCCGGAAGACCTGCAGCAAAATGCCGCGTTAAATCCCAAACTCTAAACCCTAAACCCTAAATCCTAAACTCTAAACCAAATCCCAAACAGGGTTCAGGGTTTTAGGGTTTAGGTGGGTTGGGGGGTTTTGAGAGGGTTTTGGGGTTCAGGGAGGGTATACGGTTTAGTGTTTTGGTAGATTCTTTTCCTTTAGGAGGGTCTAGTTCTAGGAAACACTGCACCGCAGCTACTCGCAAGCAACTGAACATCCACATTGCCCCCAGAGCCAGGACCTACACCCTGCCCTGCACACGCGAAGACTTACAAACACCAAGCATCCTGACACCCATTTGCTGAACCGTGAACTCGCACACCCCAAGGAGGAAAGCCCCGTGTCCTAAACTTTACAACCCCCTTCCCCGGAAACGAAAGCACCTTTGAGCTTAAGGAACTGTGATGTCATGAAGCTGCTTCTTTCGGCCCGCGCCGCAGTCAACGACAGCGACTGCCGTGGTGCGACGGCCTTGTTCCTCCGTCTATTCGGTTTGAGATTGGGGTTTAGGGGTCAGGGTTTGGGCCTCTTTCTTGGGGGTTTCTGCAGGTCTATTCTGTGGGTTTACGTCTTGGGTCTGCCAACCCTGCCAAAGCTTTCTGTTCTGCCTTTAGTGGGATCCTTACCGCCTTTGGTTGTTGTGTGCTTCCTTCGATGTGGAGGATACCTAGCCTAAACCCCCTAAACCCTGAACCCCCCTGAGCCCCAATAACCCCTCAACCCTAAACCCCCCTAAGCCCCAATAATCCCTAAACCCTAAACCCCCTAAGCCCCAATAATCCCTAAACCCTAAACCCCCCTAAACCCCAATAATCCCTAAACCCTAAACCCCCCTAGGCCCCAATAATCCGGGATCCCCCCTTAACAGAGCCCATATGGTCCTGGGAATCCTGAACCCAAAGTGCGAAGAGCCCTGACACCGGAATCCCTATAATGTAGGGGCCTAAATAATTAAGGTTTAGGGTTTAGGGTTTAGGTTACCTATACTATTTTTGGGGGATTCCTTGTTATCATTATAGTAGAATGGGCCCCCAAACCCTATTCTAACTATTAAGGCCCTTATATTATCCCTAAATCCTCAAGCCCTTAGCCCTAAACCCTATAAGCCCTAAGCCCTATAAACCCTATAAACCCTATATAAACCCTAAACCCTAAGCCGTCCTGAGCAATCTGAGGCACTGGGCCCTAAACCCTAAACCCTAAACCCTAAACCCTATAAACCCTAAGCCGTCCTGGGCAATCTGAGGCACTGGGCCATGATTTCCAACACCGCCCAGGGCGTCCGCATTCTCTGCGAAGCAGGCGCTAGTCCCCAAAGGTTTAGGGTTTAGGGTTTAGGGTTTAAGGCTCCATGTACTTTTATAGTAGATACTTAGGCCTTAAAGGGGTCCCCATATAGGTACTTTAAGGCCTAAGTATCTACTATAAAGGTACATGGAGCCTTTGGGTTCGTTGAGATTGAAATGAGGTCTAGGACAGTTTCAGGTGGGTAGTTACCGTTATAGGAGCCTTGTAGAAGGTCTATATACCTTATAGAAGCCTTATAGAAGGCCTATATACCCTAAGCTGATTGAAATGTAGATTGTTCAGGACGGTTTAGGGTTGAGGGGTTGAAGATTTAGGATTAGTATAGGGGCCTTAATAATTAGAGTAGGGTTTGGGGTCCCAGTATACGTTTTATTCTTGAAGCTTTCTAGCAAGAGGTCCCCTACTGTAGATGCGGGGCCCTGAAACGAGGGATCCCACTATTCATGTTGCTTTCTAAGCAGGGTCCCACAAAGATCCCTTCGAGAACCCCCATGGGTCCCTCTCCCATGTGGTTGTCTTCTTGAGGCCTTTCTGGGTTATGTCGGTTTGGGGTGAGTGTTTGGGATTCAAGCGGGTTTAGGGTTTAGGGGCTTTGGGTTTAGATGAAGAGGGGGCTTCGATTTCGTGATTCTGGAACGTGAGCCATGGGGTATTCGGGAGTTCTGCGTTTGTGGATGGGCATGTCCCTAAACCCTAAACCCTAAACCCCTAAACCCTAAACCCTAAACCCTACAGGGCTCTGGCTTCAGGGCGGGTGCACGGCTAAGGGCACGATGGTAAAGCTGGCAAACTTGTGGTTTAGGGCCTGGGGGTTTAGGGCGTTTAGGGTTTAGGCTCGAGGGTTTAGGGTTTCGGGTTTACTTTATAAACCGGTTAGAGGCCCAGAATGTACCGGAAAGAAGCCTTAATCTACTTCTTTGCCGGGCCTCCGTCTAGGCCATTATCTTGGTTCCCCAGTAGTACACTTTTGCCCTTTTTCTTTTTGGTTCCCTTATTAAAACCAAATAGTAGGAAAAAGGGTACCCTTATTAAGGGGCTACGGGGGAACCTAGTTATACACCTACTACCGGGAAGTGGTCTTCTGGTCCTGTGCTGGTGGGCATGGAAGGTTAAGAGTAAAGTAGAGGAGCAGCTCTTGGCTTCAACCCTAACCCTAAAACCCTAAAGCCCTAAACCCCAAAACCTGAAGCCCTAAAACCCTAAACCCTAGAACCCTAAAGCCCTAAACCCCTAAAACCCTAAACCCTAGAACCTAAAACCCTAAAACCACAAAACCTGAAGCCCTAAACCCCTACAGCCGGAAAATGTTGGATCATCGTCATGCCTTCCCAGCAAAGTCAGACCAGATCCTGGCCCCAACGGCCGTCTATGATCCAACTTTACCCCACAGCGGCCCAAAGCCACAGGTTTAGGGTTCCGGTATGGGTTTAGGGCTTTGGGTTTAGGGTTTAGGGTTCCGGGTTTGGGGTTCCGGGTTTAGGGCTTAAGGGTGTAGGGCTTAGTTTTTAGGGTTTAGGGCTTAGGGCACCCCTCAAGTACCCTTGAACAGAGCCCTTCTGGCCCTTCACTGTGCAGACTTGTAGGGTATAATAGAGGGCTGGGGGGTGCTGGTAGGGTTTAGGGTTTAGGGTTTAGGGTTTAGGGTTTAGGGTCTAGACCCCTAAGCCCAAACCTTTACACTCTCACAGACACCCGCGAGGTGCTGACGCCGAACTGGCAGCTTGCCGACGTTGTGTGGCCCTTCACTTTCGCTAGGGGTCCATGTACCCAAATAGTATATACTTTAGCCTTAACGTAGTCCCTAATTTGGGTACTTTGGGCCAATGTATATTCTGTATGAGTACATGGACCCTTAGGGTTTAGTTAAATCAAGGGGTCCTACAAGGGTTCGGTAGGGGTTGGCGGGGTGGCAGGCGGGGTGTCTGGGGTTGGGGGGTTGGGGACCATTCATTCCTGACGCCGATACGATGGGAATGATGGGGTTGGGGTTTGAGGGTATAGTGTTTGGCCCCAAACCCTAAACCCTAGGAAATACTGGTTCTTGAATTTGCTAAGGAAACCTCAAGCCCCGTTCAAGAACCTAAATTTCTACATAGTTACAAGATATTTGGAAATTCCGTATTCAGGCCTTACGAAGACATTGCCCAAAGGGTAGGCCACGGAGGGAAACGAAGGAGCTGACCTCATGATTCTTGTGGTCTTTTGAGCCTTGCCGTGCTGGGGCCCTGAGCGCAAAAACTTTAACCCTAAACCTTGAACCTTAAACTGTCCTGAAAGCCAATTGCCAGCATAAATCACCTTCGCCAGTGGGCTTGACTCCTAAAAGCGGTTTAGGGAAGCCTTAAACCCACCCAAACCCCATACCCTATGTACCACATATACCCTAACCTCTATATTATCCCTATATGCTCTATATACCCAAAATACCCTATATACCTTCAACCCTAGGCCCGAAATCTTGAGAACCGCAAGGATTCCTTGAGCACTCAGGAAGGCAACCCTGGAACTAAATCCCCAAGGCGTGAATTCCCTTTAGGGTTTGGGGCCCTGAAGCGGGGGCCCTAAAGCCAAAACCCCCCAACTCTGAGCTTCAAGCCTTAAAATCCTCAAAAGACGAACACAGGAGCTTCAACAAACACCGAATCCTGAAGAGGCGCCCCATGGAGCCCTTACACTGGAAACTGAAACTACACCAAACACCCACGAACGATGGTCTAGCATCCGAGAGCACCGCGCAAAACCCTGCAATAACTTGCAGAACCTGCCTTTTTCAAATCGTAATCGCTTACCACAGAGCTTGCTGAGATCAGCCAACCCGCCACGGCCCCCCTTGCGTGCACTGCGCTGGGCTCGGCAGACGCACTTCGCGAGCTGCTGGCGCAGAGGAGCCGGTTTGGGCGTTTCTTTTCCGTCTGTGTATAGGGAGCCGGTGGGGTTTTAAAAAGTGCTGTTTGAACTGTGGTTTTGGTTTTTACAAGGTGTTCTTACAAGGTGTTTATAGTGTTAACAATGTTTCAAAAGGAAGGTCTCGAATGGAGAGGCAGCTAAGTGCTCCACCCTAAGCCCTAAACGTACTTGCACATCCCTCTAAATGCCAGCAACCCCCTACCTTGCACGCAGCTACGGCGCGCCTTTAGGGTTTAGGGTTTAGGGTTTAGGGTTTAGGGTTTAGGGTTTAGGGTTTAGGGTTTAGGGTTTAGGGTTTGTAAGAGTTACATTAGCATGGCCATACTTCATGTTTTGATGCAGCAATGACATATACCCATATACTATACACTTTAACTGGCCCTATGTAGCACCCCCTTCAAGGACCGTAGATTATTGCCACATATGTACATGGACCGTTAGGGCAAGATGGTCATGTCCATTGTGATCTGAGGACCACGCTGGACTTAAAGGATGCCTTGCACTTCAGCCTCATGTTCCGCCCTATCGCGGCAAGAAGAAGAGGGCTTGGGGCTATCAAAACCCTCAACCCTAAACCCAAAACCCCAAAACCCCAAACCCCTAAACCCAAAACCCCAAACCCCAAAGCCTAAACCCCAAACCCTAAACCCCAAACCCCAAACCCTCAACCCTAAACCCCAAAGCCTAAACCCCAAAGCCTAAGCTGTGCGGACTGGGGGTTCATGGCTGTCGGGATTTGGGACCGCAGGGTCTTCAGCTTGCAGGCTGCGGGCTTTGGGTCGGAGGACTTTGTAGGATGGTTTTGGGGTTTAGGGTTTAGGGTTTCGGGTTTGGGGTTTAGGGTTTAGGGTTTCGGGTTTAGGGTTTAGGGTTTCGGGCTTGGGGTTTAGGGTTCAGGGTTTCGGGTTTGGGAACCTTTCTGCTTTTCTGGTTAGTCTCCGGAGCCTGAGCTTTCAGAGCTTGAGAGGTTCCCGAAGGGACATCCCGAAAGCGTATTCTGAGAGGCGAAATTTCACGCCGAAGATATGTCTGCTACAAACCCCAATGCAGAGTCAGCCACAAGAGACTACAGTGCCATTGTGTCTTTGCCAGACACTGACGGACATTATTTTGGTAGCGAGGCTGGTTTTTCCTCTGTCATGAGGCTTCCGAAACCCTCAGCTCTAAGCCCTAAACCTTTATAGCAACCTTATGTTTCAGAACCCCAAACACAAAGCGGTGTGTTCATGGCTACCGGGTGCTGAAGGGCCTTGGCTGGTCCTTCATCTTCACTCATGCGAAGAGTCCAAAAGACCCAGTGATTAGGTACTTGGGATAGCAGTCGTGTAGGTTGGTATTGTGTGTGATTGGTAAGTTTTCGACCCGCAGGGTAGTTAGAGGGTAGAAACCCAGAAGCCTGAACCCTAGCAACGTTTGGTTCTGCAGTTTTAGTTGCCAGTCCTTGCATGGACCCTAAACCCCTAAACCCTAGACCCCTAAACCCCCAAACTCTAAATCCTAAACCTGTCTTCTGCTCGCACACCGGCCGAAGCTGAACCTCGAAGTTGGACTCTCAAGCTCGGCCCTAAACGCGGAAGCTACTCTGGGGGCCTAAATGATTGCCAATACTACTGTACCTTAAGGACGACATGAACCCTAAAAGGGTTTCAGGTTCATATAGCCATATAGGGATTCATAGTATAAGGGTAAAGGGCCCCTACTTATAAGGGTCATTTGGTCTTTGAGGTATTTTGGTGGTCCCTTATTGTAACTATACTATAATATACCCGGATTCTACTTATTAAGGCCCCTATATATTACACCCTAAACCCCCACGTCCATAAACCGTCCATAAACCTTGAACACCCACATCCGGATACTTAGAACCCTAAATTTATCCAAGGCAGCGGGGTGAAAAGCGTGTCCGTCTTGTTGGAGGCAGGGTCGCACGTTTCTTGGTTTAGGCTTTGGAGTTTAGGGTTCTCGGGCCTTAATTTCAAGCTTGCAGCTGAAATTTGTGGTTAGTCACGTCCCTAAACCCTAAACCCTAAACCGAAATTTGTGTTGTGCTTTTTGTAAGTTATGCCTCCCGGGCCAGATCTTGACAGCTTCTTGGGCAAACCGTTCGAAATCTGTCGATAGCGCCCTGAACCCCTAAACTCTAAGCACTCAATCCGAAACTAGTACTTCTGCGCTGTGACCCTAGTAGCCAGTTTCTCAAACTCCTAGATCTTACAAAATCTCTGCCCGCAAGTCACCAACCTTCAGTCTCTGACATGTACCTGTACCTGTAAAGTTTACAACATGCCTGCGTGCTTGCCTGCCTGCCTGCCTGCCTACCTACCTACCTACCGACCTACCGACCTACCTACCTACCGACCTACCGACCTACCTACCTACCGACCTACCGACCTACCGACCTACCGACCTACCGACCTACCGACCTACCGACCTACCGACCTACCGACCTACCGACCTACCGACCTACCGACCTACCGACCTACCGACCGACCGACC